TTTTTCAAGACAGGGTTTCTCTGTGGCTTTGGAGCCTGTCCTGGAACTAGCTCTGTAGACCAGGCTGGTCTCGAACTCACAGAGATCCGCCTGCCTCTGCCTCCCGAGTGCTGGGATTAAAGGCGTGCGCCACCATCGCCAGGCTATCTTACATCTTTCTATAATCAATCACTAACCTGTCTATATTACATGAATAGTTAGATTCTATAATTTTATATGGTTGCAACATAAATAAGATGCAATATTTAGGAAATATGCATACTTTAGTATTTTATATTAATTTAAAGTTAAGAGTTTCCCTTTCTCCTAGACACTTCCCACTCTTTTATTGCAACAAATATCATTTTTAAAATAATATGATCGCTTTATTTCTGCACATTCTGACAAATAAAGCCTCACATTTTGACTTGCATCATTGGTCTTAGACAGTTTATTAAAAGGCAGATTATTCCAGAGATGTTTATTCAGTCAGTATTCACCTGGTAAGATCCAGGATTTATTTCTGACAAGAATGTAGGAGATACTTCCAATTTCTGGTACCATTGTGATGTCACACAGTGAGACTTTATGAGTTGCCATCCATCGTTATAAAAGTACCTAACTTTTCTGTGTAAGTGATCTGAGGATGATTGTACCAGTAGATAACATGAATTTAGAAAAGTTTAATATAATTTTGTCTAAAATATGCAGTTTAATATATTCTCATGGAATAAGCAGTAAAATCAGATCAACATTACTACAATACTACAATAGCATCATTCTGAAACATTGAGACTTCCTTGGAAAAAGTTAATGTGCTTGTTAAATTGAATCCTGGATTTCAATGTAAAGTTAAGGAGCCATGAGTTTATGTTTCTAATACTTTACTGAAAATTTTATTAAAAGGAAAACAAACTTTGGACACCAATTTCTCAAAGTTAGAAACTGGCAGAGTTCAGACCCTAATGTCGGTTACCTGACTCTAGCAAATTTTACCAGTAGAGAATCCCTCAAAACCTCTACCACACTCATAGCCAAATTTTTATCGTAGCTAAAAAAAAAGCTACATTGCAAGATTGGTGTTTGGAATCATTAGCTGATGGAATATACAGCAGACCACCAAAATTAATTGAAATTTTGGAGGAATGCATTGGGATAACTGCTTCAGGAACATCGACTTTCGTAGTATTTGTCATAGTTATCAAAAAATTGTGGGAATATATATACATATATATATTGTTTTTGTCATTTTCAAATGACTGTTTCACATGGTAGTGCTAAGTCTTCTGTCTGCTATTTCATAAATAACAAGCAGAGTGACTTTTTTCAGTATCCATTAACAATATTAACATCAATGACACTGAAGATGTTTTAATATTAAAATTTATTATTCAAATAAGTGCTTGTGGAGAAACATATGTTTTTCACAATTGAGCTGAAATTTCTTGATATTTGGTATCTGTTTATCCAGCCATATGTATGTCGTATTACTGAGTAGTTAGTTTCCAATCACCCTGCTCAGGAACACGGAAGATTGTATATATTTTTTTTTTTACCACATACCAACACTGAGTTCAGATGAGTACCAACTATATTATCTTCATGCATTGTAGCCTACACTGACCTCTGTGCTCTTAGTTTTCCCTTTTCCTTGTCATTTTCAACTTGCTACACTGGCACCACTCTTCTGAGTTCTATTTTGATCAATAACAATTTCCAAAGGGATTATTTTCTGCAATTTCTCTTTCACTACCACACAACTCTTATCTTGAGTCTATTCCATTTAAAGTTAAGTATCTGGGATTTTTAAAAATGTTTATTTCAGAACTATATTATGTTATTTTCAGAGATATGTCATACTTCAGAGTGTTATTTTATCATCATGCATTCAGATTATTTCCTGGTGAGAAAGATAGAATAGGTCTGTCTAAAATGTTAAATGTGTGAATAATGTTATCATGTTCTTTCTATAATTTAGTTCCTTCTTAAAATACACATCTTTAATATTTATTGGCTACACATTAAAATAATAGTTTTTTAGAGCAAGTGATTATAAAGTAACTGCCTTTTGAATAACATCGTTTCTGATAAACAACGTGCTCGTGTACATCAATCATTCAGGATCAGGATAGAAACCCCTTGGATTAAATGTTTTTGCGAACCAAAAATGGATGATATCAGAATTTATATTTCCACATATTTTACAGCTTTTATGTTTGAAATGTTTTTCTGGTGTTACCAGTCTAACAATTTTGTAAAAATGCAGATGGGAACTGTGGTAATCCTGATATTGAGATTCATTAAATGAGTAGACATCAATAAACACGTTTATAATATACAATTTTAGGTTTTAAAATATCAAGATACATGTATATTTCACATATATGTATAACATGTAGTGTCAACTGACTATTCAGAAATAAAAAAAGTTAAAATTTCCAACTCCTTATCTATTTTTCCATTTATGATGATCATTTACACAATGTAGTTTTCAAAGGTTGAGATAATTTATTCATTTTGCTTATAATTAAATGTCAACTGAAGAGGATGCATTCATTGGATTACTACTTTTCTCCCATTGATGTGGCTGAGGAATTATCACTAAAGGTCATTATTTCCTTGCTGTAGCATTTAAGTAAGGGTCTCTTAAGTAGCCAGAAGAACTATCAAACTCTTTTTTTTTATTTTTTAGATATTGTTTTATTAAAAATTTCCTCCTCCTTCCATTTCCCTTCCTCTACCCCCACTCACTCTCCCTCTCTAGTCTGAAGAGCAGTCAGGGTTCCCTGCCCTGTGGGAAGTCCAAGGTCAGCCCTCCTTGTCCGCCACGTTCAGAGAGTCCGGTTTTATCACATGTTCCATCAGTCCCAGTCCAACTGGCCTTGTTGAGCTCCCATTAGATCAGCCCCAAACTCTTTTTTGGAAGACTGAGCTTTGAAACAATCATGAGTCTGGGGAGGTATTTTGAGCAATTGAGACTCACTCATGAGCTATGTGGCATTAAACACAAAGTGCACTCCAAACCAAACAACAAGCTCTGTCACCTACAAAACCATGCAGGAAGTGAATGTAACTATTAATGAATGCAAGGCCACACACTGTTGAGTTGAGGAAACGAGGAGCACATGCTCACTAAACTGTGAAAAAGATCTTTGATTGGTGCTTTAAGAAGACCCTGAAGAACACCAGGCATCACCCATGAGATTATTCTGAACAATATGGAAAAATTAAAGGGCTTGTTATCATGACTGAGGGGGCAGTGGGACAAAACGAGGCATTGCTGGTGTAATTTATAACCAACCATGACTTCGTGGATAAAACAGACATTCAGAAACACAATACTGTGAAAAGTGAGAACTGTGAAGTAAGAAAAGCTCATGGAATCAAAAGATTCCTAGTCCTTCAACCAGTCAAAGAAGTCAATGTGTTTCCAGAAACTTTAATGATGGTCATGCAGGTGGTTTTAGTACCATTGGCCATTTTGATTGTGGAGGGAACTTCAATGATCATGGTGGCTTCAGTGGCAGACTTAGTGGTGTTGTATATGCTAGCAATGAGGATTGTTATGATGATTTTCGTAATGATCAATGAAATTTTGGAGGTGCTGTGTTGGAATCTGTAACAATTTTGACAATTATGACAATTGTGCTTCAAATTTTGAATAATTTGGAGTCTGAATTTTAGGTCATATAGAAGTGGAGAGCAGTACTTTGCTAACCTGTGAAACCAAATTAGCTATGGTATTTCTAGCAACAGCTATTGCTACAGCAGTAACAGAAAGCTTTATTGCCAGGAAGCAAAATTTGGCAGGAGAGGAGAACAAGAAATGTGATAGGGAGGCTACAGTTTATAGCAGATTTTGGACTATGCCAAACACAGTGGAGGACGTGTCTTGCTGCTACAAAGAATTGTTTCATACTATTGTGTGTAGGCAAAAACATTCCCAAATGTATTTGTCACTAATTGTATAACAGATTATTTTAGTTTATGTTCTGTTGAAACTGTAAAAAATCTTCACAAAAGGTTTTATGCAGACTCTTTTTAACCATGCTGTTGTTTGCTAAATGTGAAACTTTCATTGTGGCACTGAGTAAGTGTTTGTTTTTAAAAAACTGCTGTGTAAAGTTAGTCTGCTCTGAACCAATTTTGTTAAACTTACAGCAGTAAGTTTACCTAACATTATGACTTTACCATTCCTTTTATAACGCCATCTTCCATTATAAGTTTACTTATGTTTGTGTAGAGTAGTCATTTTCTTTAGAATCTTATGATGTGGGGGTCCTTCTATATGTGTGTTGCTTTTATTATTTAATGAGTAAAGAACCGCTTTGAGCCTATGGCAGGGAAGAACCGAACTAAGCAGGTAAAGCTAGGCTGTACTCTGGGAGAAAGAAGGGTGAAGTCAGAAAGATGCTGTGAGACCTGCCAGAGACAGATTCAAAAACTTTAACTGATAAGCCACAGCCACATGACCATATATTGAGAAATAGAAATAGCTTAAATTAATATGTAAGAGTTAGTCATTAAGACTCTAGAGCTAATGGGTCCAGCAGTGATTTAATACAGTTTCAATGTGATTATTTCTGGTCTAAACTAGTCAGGTGG